TGGGCACTGAAAAACTAAAATATATCTCAAAAATAAACATTACTATCAGGAAATTCTCACTCTTAAAACTAAATGTATAACTATCCACAAAGGCATGATAAAGTTTTAGGGACATACATTCTTGGGTTTCTAATTAAGCCCTGCATTATCAATTTGTCAATTTTTAAATGAAATGTTCTTGAACAGAATGTTTTTGTGTAAACTCCAGGGCTGATTTTTTTGTATGTGCCACCCATATTTGTTTTCTTTCTTTTTGTATTCTATCTTGGTACTTCTATAAAATTGGCATAGGGGGGAAAAAATCAAATTAACTGTGAAAGGGTAAAATAATGGCTTAGACGGTTGGTTTTTTGTTTTTGTTTTTTACTTTTTTCTTATTTGCCTCTTAATCCTATTTGGCTTTCCACTGTTTTCTCTACGCGTGCACGTATACTCTCTCTCTCTCTCTTTCTTTAAAAAGGCTTCTTCACCCTTCACTGCTGGAAATTTCTGTTGACAGCCTTATATTAACAGCGTCTTTCTCTGTGGATTTCCTCATAATAGTTATGTGAAATGAAAACAAGAACTTAGGGAGTGGACAGAGAAGGGGGTACTGTAGTCCCAGTTTTTCTTCCCAGAGTTGTGCCCCAATTTAAAGATCAGTTGAAGATTTTGGCAGAGAATAACCTAATCCTATTAATGCATAAACTGCAACTTCAGCTTTTTTTCAAGGAGGGTGTTTCTTGTTCTTGTTTTCCCATCTCTCATTCTTTGTCTTTCTACAAAGCACTTTAAAGAGGCTTAGACAAATCAGACTTCATATCAATGTAATTATGCTTCAGCTTTAAAGGGAAAAGGCTTGGTATTTAAATGGGGGGGGGAAGTGTGACTCTCGTTTATTCATTATTATTACTGTTGTTAGAAATGGATATTCAAAATGCGGACAGTGATTTTCAATATGAATTAGAAAATTTGAACATATTGGAGACTAAAGAGAAGTAGGAGAGAGGTGGAACAACCTGGATAAAGAAGGTTAAAGATTTAAATTCAACCCTCACAAATAATGAATGAAGCTCACTAAATAACAGGCAATCACATGCCAATATCTAAATCTGAATCAAATCTTATCTAAATCAGAATCTGTTACTCCAAAATATAATTTTTTTTATAAAAATGAAAACTATTTCTTCAGTCTCTGCAATTTATATTTTTCTACGCTGAAAATTGAAGTTCTTAATAAGAATCAAAAGTGGTGACAAAAACAAAACTATCTGAAGCATAACCTAAAACTCCTAAAATTTTAGGAACAGTAATATACAGAAACAAAATCTATGGGTTCTCCTTTTGTTTCTTTCTAGCCCTTCAAGGCTTTCATAAATTTGATCCCTTCTTCCTTTATAGATGGGTTGGGAGGGGTTGGGTTTCCCATATTAAAAGTTGGAAAAGTGAGTATTAATAGCAATAGCACTTAGATTTATATACTGCTTCACAATGCTTTACAGCCCTCTCTAAGTGGTTTACAGATCAGCATATTGCAATCTGGGTCCTCATTTTACCCATCTCTGAAGGATGGAAGGCTGGGTCAACCTTGAGCCAGTGAGAATCGAACTGCCAAACTGCTGACAAACTGCTGGCAATCAGCAGTGAGTAGAATTAGCTTGCAGTACTGCATTCTAACCATTGCGCCTTCACAGCTCTTATGCACCACCACGGCTCAAATGAATATTAAGGCTTTTCATAAGTTGCAGCATAATAATGATTGTCATTATCAACTTTTTCCATGCTAAAATCAAATGACTCTTAAGTGATAGTTTAATAGTTCATTAAGGTTAAATAATCTAATATTTTGTTTATGTTTATACTTTCAAAGAAGTTAAGCTTCATCATTACCTGAGCAAAAAAAAATTAAATATAAATAATATTATTTGATAGACAAAGGAGGTAGTAATTACTTTAACATAAAGCAAGTCAAAAGTAAAATAAATTTGCATTATGCATTATGTTGGACATAATGCATTATGTTGGAGGCAGGCTATGTGATGCCTATGATCACCACTAGACCCACAGATACCTTCATTCATTCATTCATTCATTCATTCATTCATTCATTCATTCATTCATTCCCAATAATCTTCGTATCCCATCAGACATGGCCTTTTTACCATTTAACTTCCAATTTAAAACATAGGAAAATATATTGTGTAAAGTATTATTTTTTTATAAAAGATTACTCTGACCCCATAGTGATACTTAGAAAATAAATATCAGTGTTTCCTGAAGCCTAAAGTTTTATTTATCCTCACCAGCAAATGTAATTTGAAATTGCCTGGAGCATCTTCAGAATCTAGAAGATGGCAGGAGTTGTCTATTTAGTGGGATTTTGTGACTACATAGTAATTCCATGTATGTCTGGGAAAGCTCCTTTAAGAAGTGCATACAGTACTCAACCACATGGACTAACAATCTCTGTTGGTAGAACATAGTGTGCTGCCAAATCTGTGGTACCATAGAGATGTGCCATCTGTGATTACAGATGGTAACAATGCAGTGCTAACTGCAGCCCTCAGCATTAAAAAATTGATGCATAATTTAATCTCAGATTATATAATTAACCAAGTACTTCATCAGATAGTCATGAACTCAAAGGAGATGCTTTGTCCAGTTTCTGCATGAATTTACCCAATGAAAAGGAGATCACCAGCTTTCTGGTTCCTTTCTCACTGAACCAGTAATCCATGCCATTGACTCTGTCCAGATGAGAGCATTATATGCCCCCTCCCTACCTTTGACCCCTATTTATAAAATTAAGCAACAAAAGAGTTCTTGTTTGCACCTTGGTTATAATAGCTTTCTGAAATACTTTAATGATCTATTTTTATAGCATGTTCTACTATGGATTTGCTACAAATAGTGGAAAAAGAAAATAGTTCCTTTCAAAAATTCAACATAGCATTAAAGTTACTTGAAGTCAGTTGTTATTTCTATCATGGGAAAATCTTTCCAGCTTTACGAAAGCAGTTATGAGCTCTTCTAAAAATCACGTTTTCCATCTTCTTTAGTTGATCTTTACAGTAGAGAAGAAATGCCAAAACAGTCAATGTTTTGACCTATCCTAGCCAAGATGTTGCAAGTCTTATAATTATCCCTTTTCTTTGTGGTTTCTTTTCATTGTTAACTAAGCCCTTTGAGTGACTGGTGGGGAAATAGGCTACTCAGAATGAATACAGTTCCTTTCCAATTTTAAAAACCAGAAGATCAAATCAATAGATAAATAAACAATTGCTCTTGCCCCTTTTTCTCATCTGTCAAGAAAAATTGCAAAGGCTCTTTCACCTTGGAAACAGTGGCTAATATTATTTTGTAGTGAAGAATCTTCCAACAAATACAAGCTATCTGAGATTTTTACAAGTTGTAGCTCCTATATATCTAAAGGGCACGATATCAGAGAAGGCTGCCATAATGCAAGATGAAAACAGCCCCTTAAAATAATTAATTTTAGAAGTCTATTTAAATTATCACTTTCCAAGTGGTACCAAATTCTGCTATACAGTTGCTCATGGATGAGAATTTGCTCCTTAACATCCTCATCATCCTGTTGTGTTCTTCCCTCATTGTTCTCCCATTGAACAGCAGATTTTGGAGAAAAAGCAGAATAAGAAGTCCATTCTCCTCAGCAAGACACAGGCATGATAATAAATCAATCTGTATCTCAATGATGGCATAACAAACATGGCATAATGTATGGCATAACAAACATGGACTTACAATGTACATTAACATTTTACCTAAATTAAAAACATAGATCTGTTAAAAAGATCTACCAGTATATTCATATACCAATGTCTAAGCTATCTAACCAGTGATGCACAGGGATATCTCAAGGAAAATCCATCTTGGATTGGAATTAGCATATTTGGTGTATATTAGAATCACAATTACATGTTTATGTGCAACTAGTGGCAAATACCTATCTCTTTACATTCCTAAAGAGTCCTTATGTAGAAATGGCAAATGCTTTTGGGATTCTATTTCAGAAAGAAAAGAATAGTCCTAAAAACTAGTCATGCTTGTGAGATTTAATTATTCTAAGGTATAACAAATCCCAAGACCCAGCAAACATTTTTTTTAAAAAAGTAATGCAAATTAACTTATATTCCATTCTCATGTGGTTTGCATGCTGAGAATATAAAGCCCAACTGCTTCTCTTCTCTGATTATCCTATTCCCGTGATGGCGAACCTATGGCACGCGTGCCAGAGGTGGCACGCAGAACCCTCTCTGATGGCACACAAGCCGTTGCCCCAGTTCAGTTCCACCGTGCATACGCGCACGCCTCCCGCCAGCCAGCTGGTCTTTGGGTCTCTGTCATGCATGCGCGGGGGGGCACATTCAGGGGGGCATATGCACATGTGGGGGGTGCGTGCAGGGGGTACGCATGCATGCATGTGGGCTGGGGTGCATGCAAGGGGGAACGTACGGACATTGCATTTTGGGGGTTCGGGCACGCTTTGGGCACTCGGTCCGGAAAAGGTTAGCCATCACTGTCCTATTCAATACCATGACAAGCAGCGATTTTTGTCACTGCTTCTAATTATTTATCTTTCCTGTCATGTCCTCTTGTATCCACTCAGGATCTGTGTTATCTAGTATTGTAAACAAAGTACAAATGATAACTGTCAGAGAAGAAAGGTGTAGTATATACGCACAGTGACTTCAAGATCCACTTTGATGACATGCTAGCAAAAAACTCGGAATTGCTTCATAATCTTGTAAAAATAGAAAATTTGTGAGGACTATAATAGTGAATTGCTTAGTTAATCCATTACCCATAATCCAACAAAGAATATACTGAATAAAAAGTTATTCTATATTAGAGTAGTTTGAGTATGTAAGAGGTATACAATGTATATAATTTTTTTAAAAAGAGAAGTTTGATATTTTATTCAACTGTTTTTACACTAAAACTATTTATGTATGTCAGCTTTTAAGCTGATGTTTCATATATAAGAATCACAAATAAGGAACATTTAAAATAATGTGTTTATTACAAAGTTTTGCTTATTATTTATGGTGGTTAGAATTATGCAACTGAGACATAAAACTTCAAGGCCAATGATATTCCATACAAAATCAACACATTACATTTAAATAATCAGTTATGATTTTCTTTTTATATATAAGAGCATAATATACTTTCTTCATCAATATTTGATTTTGTTTCTTGACATTATGTATATAAGCTATGTCATAAAACAAATTTATTGGAATTAAAGTAATTGGGAAGTATAACCATTTTTAGAAGATATGGAAGTATAGGCAAAATTTGGTTATTGTTTGCAAGATATTATTTTCATCTGACTTGCCCAGTACCTCTACCACATTTTGATTTCTTGCTGATGAGAAATGAATATCTGCACTCACCTTACTGTAGCTGTCAAGGAAAAAAAGTCCATTCTATTTGCCTTTCATTTTGTAGGACCCTATTTAGCCAATTGAAGATTCTGCAGATGTCAGGGAAAATAAATTTGAAGTTATTCAAAATTCATTTTTACAAATTATACAGTTCTAAAAAAATGTGGAAATAATTTTTGAATTAGATTGTGAAAATGTGTAAGTAAATTTTGCACTGTGGAATACCAGTCATTTTATTCCAGGTTCCTCAACAGTAAGCCAACCTTCTTTTGACTATTAAGGATGATCTCCATTGGAGACTTTTCCTTTCCTTTTCTTCCCCTTCTCTTTCTTTTCCTTCATATTATCTCTAAATATTGTTTGTGCTACTCACTTTGGTATACATAATTCTGCAATGGATTGTGTCATTTTCTTAATAGAAGCAATCTATAGTTATTTTAGGTGCCTTCTGTCCTGAGAGGGACTCAGCATGGAAGCCCCGTAATAGTTTACAAGGTGGAAATCTGGTTGAATTTTAAATATTCACTGTAAAGCTATTAACTGATATGTATAACAGACAAATTGGTCAGATCTGGATGCTTAATCTGATGAAATATTAATTTTTATTGTCTTTCTTTGTGCTAAGGAATAGTACCGTTAAAGAAGTATGGTGATGAAAAAAATCATAGTGATGAAAGAATGACTATATGCTGGGAATTTGCAGAAAATTGATTACTGTAAATTTAAAAAATGACTATTCTTTCTGGTAGATTAAAGGTTTTTTTAATGGATAATTAAAGAGTACGGTCTTCTCTTAGATTATGTAGAAATGTTAACATGAAATGCAATTTGTAGATTTCATATTTAAGCTTTACATCACAAGGAGAAAAAAGATCTCTGTGCATAATGACAATAGTCATCAGGCAAAAGGTTTGACTGAAAGTTTTGTCCTAGGCTTAACAACAGCTAGCCTTTTTTTTTATTACATAACATCTGTTTATGTGGAGAAATATTAAAAGGCAGAACTCCTCTTTATGTTACGGTGTAAAGCACAACTTTTAATGTACTGTTATCCGCTGTAGAGTATGCACAGCTAATTTTTACACACATATTACATACTATTACATATATACATATTACATGCTATTACATACCATATGTAATGCTCTGATATAAAGTAGAACCCTTCTCAAATCATGTGCTCAGGATCAGTTTGAAAGATTGCCTATGTGCAACAGAACATTCTACTTAGGACAGAAATCACAAATTTCTCCAGCGTTTGTTTGGCTAATTAGCAGTTCCATGAAGAAGTACAGTGCTGACATTGTTCTGGAAATGTTTTTTTTACCCCGACTTCCCTTAAGCTGCTCTTAGTTCAGATGTAGAAAAGAGAGAAACTCCTGCTATTCCACCAACATTGCTACTGAAGCGAAACAGCAGATTTGGAATGGATGGGAATGGAATTTCACAAGGCGAGAACAGGAGATGAAAGGGCTAAATGTAAGCTTTTAATATAACTCCTTTTTAGCCTTCTCAGGATGGAATCTATGAACATTTTGATTTATACAAGGAGAGGCTATCCACTTATGACAAGGCTTAATACTGAACCCTAGTACTATAGTTCCTTCAAAGAAGGTCTTGTCTTTTGTCCAATGGAGGCAGAAATTAAGTGGAGTAATCTACATATTTTATCTCTGACTCTTTCCCAGGCTCACCACAATAACTTTGTGTTTGACAACTGAGATTTCTGTCAATGAAATAAAGCTATCAAAGCTCCCAGTCACTGAACCTTTTGAACAGAGGTTTCAAGTTCTTCCAGTGTTTTCAGATTGCTTTTTGGCAAGGGAATGCTCATTCTGGAAACTGAACCACAAATACCCATGGAAAAAAGATAAAATATTGACAGACTTGTAGAGTTGCTGAGAATGCCATATTCTTTTTATTTATTTCCTTTTGTAAAATCCTTCCATTCTTCTCAATACCTGCATAATCTTGTAACAATTTCCGTGTGCCATGAATGTTTTTTAAAAATGTAATAACTCACATTACAGGTAGTCCTTGACTTATGACAATTCAGAGCAAAATTTCTGTTGCCAAGCAAGACAGTTATTAAGGTTTGCACCCATTTTATGATCTTTCTTGCCATAGTTGTTAAATGAATCACTGCAATTGTTAACTTAGTATCACGGATTTTAAGTGAATCTGGATTCTTCATTGACTTTGCTTGTCAGAAGGTCACAAAAGGTGATCACATAACCCCAGGACACAGTCATAAATGTTAATGAGAGCATAGAAAGTTTAAAAATACAATAAAATTAAACAATATAAAGGAGGCAGTAAATGCAAGATCTATAAGCAGATCCACTTCAATTTCACCCTTCTATTCAATAGAATCCCACAATGGGACAAGAAAACAACATATTTAACATTCAGTCTTTTTCTTCTTCATGAGTTTCTCCATTATTCTTTCCTTGACCTTTTAATTTCCAGTCCTGGAAAATGTACCAGTACTGTACTATTTATTATAGCAAATAGCTGCTTTTGCAGAGGCCATTTAAAAATGGGAAAATAATGTAAGGAAGAATGATTACTAGATGTATCCCTCGCCCAATTTAATTCAAGTACCATTATTGCCTCCTTTTACATCTGATCAGAGTTGCCCGAGTGCTTGGCTTATTTTATGCCTTAGATGCACATATTATTATAAATTACAAGCTTCATTTAAATTGCAAGCCCATAAATTAACAATAAATATTATATCATAAACACACACACAAGCACACACACACATACAATTGACTGATACAAGTAACTTTTTAAAAAAGTGTTCTGATGAAAGACCCCTGCACTATGATACCATTAAATTTCCCACTTTTCATTAAATCTAATCACATTGATGACCACATACAATTTCATTCGAAAGCAATTTCTGTGGAGGGAAGTTTGAACTTAAGCCACGGAGGAAAATTTGATTTCAAAAATTTACAAATATCTATTGGAATTTGATCTAGCAGAGGAATTAGTAAAGGGGCAAATGATAGCATGGGCAAGAAATATTGGGCATAATTTAGAATTGGAGGACTGGGAAAAAGTGTGGGAAAATAACTATATTATAACAAAGTCAGTAGTTTATAAAGAGAATCAATACAAAATGTGGTATAGATGGTATCTGGCCCCTTCAAGATTAGCAGAAATGTATTCAAATTTAAGTCCAACCTGTTGGAAGTGCAAACAGGCACAGGGTACTTTCTTCCATGTCTGGGGGCTTTGCCAAAAAATTAGGAAGTATTGGGAAAAAGTAAGAATTTGGCTAATAGAAATAACATCAGAAAAAATAGAACTTAAACCAGAGATTTGCCTATTAGGGACGATTAAAGAAAACTATAGGAAAGAAATAAAGTATTTAATATTACACATAGTCACTGCAGCCAGATTGACGCTCGCCCAATATTGGAAAACTGACCAACTGCCAACACATCAATTGATAATCCAAAAAATCTATAATTGCGCGGAAATGGACAAACTAACATTTGAAATGAAAGACAAGGTAGACTCAAAATGTTATATAGCGTGGAATAGGTGGTATGATTGGATAACTCGCAGAAATGAGAGTAAATGAAAAATTTTGTATGATAATAATTAACAAATATGCACTGTTAATAAGATAAAGGACGTGTGACCAAAGTCACTTTTTCTTTTTATGTATTGTCATTTGTATTAATATATATGTATCTTGTAAAAAAACCAAACAACTATTATTTTAAGAAACAAGCACATTGTTTTGATTAACATTTTTGTGGATAGAAATATTAGGAATGGTATGGCATTTCTGTGAGAGTCATTAAATCTGACATACAAAAATGCACTTCTAGAAAACTTACAAATGGTGAAGCTAGAAAGATTTGGGTTGTTTTCCAGCAACAAGAAAGCTATAATGATAAGTATATGTGTTTCTGCATAGACTTTTCCAAGTACACAGTGGCTGCAATTTCAGAGATACTTACCTTGTAGTAGCTAAATATTCATACTATTAGTTATGAATAGGAAGCCATAGAACTAGGCAGTATGATGCACAAACTACTTCTTAATCAAAGCTGCACAATACACCAGCAAATTCTTTGTCCAGGTGATTGGCATTCATCTATATAAATACTGCAATGCATTTGTAGATCTTTATACATCTGAGTTAAAATGTATTCACATTTATACATTTGAAAAATTATGCCACTGTAAAAATTTGTACAAATCTTATTCATGTGAAATGCTCTTCTAAAACTGTTCTTTGCAAACATTAAAAAAGCAATCACATCAATGCCTTTATATTTAAACATCAATTTGCTACATTCATATCTTTATTGTATCCTTTAATTAGACTTTGTAAAAGATTCGCTATGGTTGGCTGTGATTGCATATGCTTGGCAAGCTGGTATCATTTTATATATTTATGGTCCTTTTTCTAGCTAGGTCAATGTTATACCATGTCTCCTTTCAAAGTTAATTAAGTTTCAGAACCAAATGACAAACTGAATTTTTAAAGTGCCAACAGTGGGGAAATCTAACTCTGTTAATACCAAGGGGTTAATAAATACACCCGGGAATGTTGGAAAATTGTACTCTAAATGTAATTCATATTATTAACCTATTTGGTTTAATCACACACTTATGCTTCAAATTTATTTTATTAATATCCAGACTATGCTGAAATATCACTTTTAATTTATACCATGTTTCCCCAAAAATAAGACCCTGTCTTATATTTTTTTGAACCCTGAAATAAGCGCTTGGCCTTATTGCCATACACTCAAAAGCCTGATTGGGCTTATTATCAGGGGATGACTTATTTTTGGGGAAACAGGGTATTATGATTCATAGAACCAAAGTTAAAGAGAACAAGCTTAATACGGGGAAACTTTTTTAGAAAAGTATTTTTTCAAACATGTTTTCAATTCCAAAAAGCTCTAATTATAGATTTTTAAATCTATTCACTAATTCTAATTCCCAAGGTTTTCTGGGAAGAAAGAAGGGCCAGCAGTTTACTAATGAAATATAAATATAAGCTATATACTACATCAAAGAACATATTGCACAAAGATAACTTAGTACGATATACCACATCAAAATAAGGAGGAGTTAGATATGTATTGCTATAGTAGTACTCATGAATTCTAAGAGGAAAATGTATTTTGGATGATGAATGCCTATAAGCAGGTACTCTGCTGTCTGAGAGATAGTAAAATAGCAGCATCCATAAATATGGATAGTTTCCAAAATCTTAAAAACAAGAACACGCTTGGCAAATAAATAAAAATTAAAATGGCAACCAGAAGTTAATATGGACTGAGGTTTCTATTAGACTCCATGATTACAGTACATGAAAGACTAATATATCCAGCTAAATTGAATTGCAAGTCCCAGAGGTCTTTCAATAACACAGAAAAATGCAATATGCATGAAGGACACCAGGGAATGCTAGTAAAAGAAGAGTCAATAAATGAAGAGGTTGCTCTGATTTCCAATTGAAGTCCTGGCACTTTTTTATGTATATCACAATGCAAATAAAAAAGGGGGTGGGGTTTTGAACACGTGTTCATGGCCATCCTCTTGACTTTATTTGCTCATTGATACACTGAAGGCCAACAATTTCGAGAAATCTGTATTTACACTGCTATCTGTATTCTTTATTTTGTGTGCAGCTGAAATGCAATTTTAATTCTCATATTGTTGAAGAACAATGCCATTTTTTTTAAATTTCACACACACACACACACACACAGTGATATTAAGACTATAATTTTTCACCCAGATTCTTACACATAAGACAACAGAACTTATTTATGAGTATATATATTGCATTGTGAAAAAAGTAGATATATCCTTATAGATACCCTACAATAACATTGCTTTGATTCAACAACACAAGACAGTATCAAATCCAACTTATTAGATGTGATATTTCTGCACAAAAAGATCATTGGATTATGGAGACCGATTGATTTAAAAATAAAGAACAGGAGAAACTGAAGAAAAATCTCATCCAGCGAGTCAGTAAATATTCAGTCAACAGAAAGGACTTACTCTGAAACCTGCTGTCCTGGTTACCAGCTTCTTCTGTAAATAAGATTAACTGCCCCCACTCACCTTAAGCAAAGTTCAAATATCACATAGCTATAATGAATGTATGCTAGCTAAAAGTTTTGGCAGGAAATGTGGCTGCAAAGGTATTTTTTAGCTGCCTTGTTTAGGAGTATTTTTCATCAAATGTTGAAGGAGCAGCTACCAATTCTTACTATAGCAAAAAGCATAGACTCTCTATTCCACAAGTGATTTTTATATATTTATGAAAAAACACTCAACTGGCATTTCTGAGAACACAGAAACTTTAAGTTTCAGACAAGTTTGGATTTAAGTCTCACAGCTGAAATTTAATTTGCTCAAAGAAACCATTTTTAATTGTAGCTCTTGGGCTGGTAGATGCTTGTACTGAATCATTTTCTTACACAAAGGAACTTACACGACTGAATATTCTTCTATATGCTACACCAACCCAGCAAGTAAAAACTAGGCACTGGGAGAAAGAGAAGAAAGACTGAAACAGAATCTTAGATTATTAGCTTTCTGAATGGAGGGGCATGGTTTATGTAACATAAAATCTTAATATCAAAGTACAATTTCATTATCACATAGACATCTATCAATAAAGGAGAATATTTGTAGCTCAGGGTTGAAATGAAGGGTCCATTGTTGCTCTCTGAGCTTGCTTGTTTTCTTGTAGACATTTCATTACCCTAACTAGGTAACATCATCAATGCCTAGTTACCTAGTTATGGTAATGCAACATCTGCAAGAAAACAAGCAAACTCGGAGAGCAACAAACACCCCTCACACCGAAATCTATATTCATATCCAAATATATACTAGGTTAGCGACTAAACAAATGCTTAGGATGCAGAAAATCTCCAGTTCAGTTTGGTACAGATACAGATACAGATTAACACAGTTGGAAGAGACCTTGTAGGTCACTTCTGTCAAAAATGTGGATATTTGCTGCTAGTCATTACGCATTCTTCAACATGGCAGATGAACTAGAATTCAGTTGTCAGAATGTCCAGTTTGCATAGTTGTTTGTAGTTCCAAAAACCCGAGTGATTCCAGGTTAGGAAAGGCAGCTTTATGCTGCTGACACCTAAGATTTCATGATGAGTCACAAACATTCAAGATTGGTTATGAAGCTCAGCTAAAGTTATTGAGGTCTACAAATAAAGCATCCACTATTCCTAATTCTTCATGTTCTAAGACTTATTTCAACAGAGAATTATTTGGGAATGGAATGAGCTGATAAATCCAACTCTAAATGGATCCAGGCTACTGTAAATGGCCATATTATATTGTATAGAAGAAGCGGGGTGGGGGGGTGGGGAACCCCAAGAAAAAAATTAAGCCATAACTCAACAGCCTTTGATTTAATTAACCATTGGTGTGTCACTAGTCGACAGCCTTTGAAAAAAGTTGTATATTTTGAATGGAAAGACCTATCTCATACAATTCTGAGACAGATATTATAAATCCCTAGTTCTCTAAAATGCAGTGATATACCTAAGTATAAAGTAATGCCCTGTAATTTGCTCCCACTACAGCAAATGCCTCTCGCAGCATTATGCTAAATCACATTTCTTTTGGAATTCATTTTCTTTAAAATCTTTACAAGAATGGCAAGTCATCCTTATACATTTACATACAGTATTATCATAGGTCACAGAAAACTGTGTACATACTCTCCATAAAAGGACATATTTCAAATAAAATAGTCATAACATCAATAAACAATAGTGTTCCTTCTTCCCATTAGACGTAGATTTCTGCAGCCCTCAATTTTTGTACATAAATAGAAGAAAACAGTCTTTGGGATATTTACATCTGCTAGGATTTCTTGTCAGTGAAGATTTCTACAGCTGTTTTTAAAGTTGTACTTAGTTTTCATTTTCTCTCCAGCCACGAGCATTCTTCCCAAATTTATATACCAGTCTCCGGCCATCTACACGTTCAAGAATTTCTCTTTTATAATAGTATCTGTTAAAAGGAGATGATGAAATCAGATACATAAAAACTCATTTTCTGACCATTTCCCCTTTTAATTTTATTTGTAATTGGACTTAGCATTTAAGATATTTTCTCATGAAATCAGAAAATAATCCAGTATCTCATCAGGTGTTGAGTTACTACCAAATCACAACCTTTGCATAAGCCCATTGCATATAAGATAGAACATATCCATACACATTATATTGATTCTAATAGAATTGCCACCTTTGGCTTTGGATGGGGTGGAATTGCCCCAAACAGACCCAGTGCGTAATCTGGGGGTTCTCCTGTATTGTGACTCTTGCTCAAAGAGCAGGTATCAGTTGTGGTCAGTTGCACAACTATGGGTTGTGTGCCAGTTATATCTTTTCCTGGACCAACAATCTTTATTCATTGTCACTCATGCCCTAATCCAGTGGTGAAATCTGAACCAGTTTGCTACCGGTTCACTGGCCATGCATGCGCGCTGTCACCAAGCGTGCGCTGTGCATGTGCAGTTCACACCAAACGTGCACTGCATGCCCATGCAAAATAGGCACCGAAAGGAAGCTTGGAGAGGTAAGTAGAACAGCGGGGGGTGGGGAGAGAATCAGCTGCAGCGCACGATCTTGGGAACCATTTTAAAAACTTTTTAAAAGCATTTTTTACTACCAGTTCGGGCGAATAGGTAGTAAAAATGCTTTTAAAAAGTAAAAAAAAAAAAAGGTTCTGACGATCGCCGGAGAACCTTTTTTTAAAAAAATCTTTTTAAAGCATTTTTTTATTACCGGTTCGGGTGAGTAGGTAGTTAAAAAATGCTTTAAAAAAGTTTTTTTTAAAAAAAGGCTCAGACGATCACAGCTGTGCTGCACAATCGTCCGAACCTTTTTTTACTTTTTTAAAGCATTTTTTTACTACCCATTTGCCAGAACCAGTAGTAAAAAAAATGCTTAAAAAGTTTTTTTAAAAAAGTTCCAACGATTGTGCGTTGCTCTGCTGATTGTCAGAACTTTTCTTTTACATATTTTTACTACCAGTTTGGCGAATCAGTAGCATTTTTTTTACTACCGGTTCAGGCGAACCGGTCCGAACCAGTAGCATTTCATCCTTGCCCTAATCACCTTCCATCTTGACTATTGCAACATGCTATACATGTGACTGCTCTTGAAAAGCATCCAAAAGCTCCAGTTGGTTCAAAATGCAATGGCCAGAATGGTTTTGTGCAGACCTCAGTGTGCACATTTGTCACTGCTCCTGTGGAAGCTGCATTGGTTGCTGATTTGCTTCCAGGTGCAATTCAAGATGCTGGTTATCACTTTTAAAGCCCTTCATGGCTTGGGACCAAGTTATTTGAGGAAGCGTCTCTCTCCTTACATCCACCTTACACACTAAAGCAGGGAGGCAAGGAATGTTGCAGGTCCCATCCCCTAAGGAAGTACATCCAGCAGGACCCAGAAGAAGGGACTTCTCCATGGTGGCTCCCTTCCTTTGTAAGATCAACCCTTCAGAAATTAAACTGGTCCCCACTTTGACACTCTATCATAAAACCCTGAAGACTGGGTTTTGCCAGTGGGCCTAGAGAATCCAAAGTGGGATGAGTTCATCAAATGGCTTATTTGACCATGTGTTGTCACCAGGTGGGTGGGTGAGGACTTACTGTTTTTTTTATTTTTATTGTTTTTTTTATACAGTGTGTTTTTTATTGTTTGTAAGCCGCCTAGAGTCGCTGTGAGCAAGTAGGCGGCTATATAAATTTTTAAAATAAATTAAATATTTTTTTAAAAAATCCCATTGATTGAAAGAAACCTATAGAACAACTGTACCTAAAACCTACAGTTACAAATTGCACCCATTGAATGCAAAATCCCTTGAATGCGATAGGCTATGCAAGTTTCTCTTTATCTAAGGAACTTTGAGCAGGAACTGAAACTGATCAATGAACTGATGCTGTTTCTGTATTAAGGGAAAATCATATGATTAATATCTGAAGTACGGTAAGCAGATTATTAGTTTGAGAAGAAATGCGAATGTTTCTGATGATTCAGGAGGACTCGCAGAGTCTGTACTTGCCAATTTTGTGGGACTTAAAGACAAATGGTGAGTCATTCTTTAGTCAAGGAGTCGACACTTTCTCATAACTGACAAAATCTCTGTGTTCATGTGAAGACAATTCGGCAGTCTTTCTAGCTATATAATGTGGTTTTCCAGGGGAGGGGGGAGGAGCCCTCAGAACAAGGATCTTAGATTTCCCATCTTGCCACATCAATTCAACCAATATCTTTGGATCAGGAAAAAAAATTCAGGAGGAAATTATGCCATAGGAAAATAGCTTGTGCTTCACACTATTTTACATTTTAAAAACTCCCCTGCGATTTCAGCATACTCTGGCTCTTTGCTTGTCATTGCCACTGGGATTAAAGGCAGTTATTTTTTTTAAGCAAAATGTTCCCCTTGTTACCTCATGGCACGGCTGAGTTTCTCATATGTCATGCTACTGTTGTTCTTCTTCTTTCCCCATAGCTGAGCCACTGCCTCTGATTTTAAGAATCGGAAGATGCCTTCTGACCGATCCTCCCATTTTATCAACCCAGGATTCTTCTCTGGATGAAGGAGAATGTCTCTGATAAACTCCCACAAGTGAGTTCCTCGAGGAGCTATAATGAAATAATGTTCAGAGGAAATATTATTTGTGTTGAAAAACAAAGGATGATGGGTATACATTTTAGGAATTCCTAATATTTCTTTTTTAAAAAGTCCTTCCTATACTTTCTTAGGCTGGTTCCAAACTCTAGAGTTAATCATTAGAATTTGGGGGGTGGGGGGAAGCAGGAAATTGATATCACAATTGCAGTCTCACCGCATTGTACACCCACATAATGGCAACACACATACAAAAGACAGAGTTTGGATCTCAGCATTACAATCCCTACCTTGTCGCTTTTAATCCTCCTGCACACCTTGTTGTTGTTAGTTGCAAAGTTGTGTCCAACCCATCGCGACCCCATGGACAACGTTCCTCCAGGCTTTCCTGTCCTCTACCATCCTCTGGAGTCCATTTAAGCTCATGCCTACTGCTAGCTGCACTTAAATCTTAGTTAATGTAATAAGCTCGTATTCTTAACTCAAATTTATTCATTTATCTCAAAACCTATTTCACTAATATTCTTATTCTATTGCATTTCATTGAAAATTTAATATCTCTGATATTAAAATTTAGATTTTTGTTCAGTATATATTCCATATGTCTTTAATGTCCCCCTCATAGGGTAGAAATCCAAGAATAGCTGTCTTACTGTGTTTCTTGTTGTGTGGCTTTGGAGGGTGATCTTGTGAAATTTTCTTCCCTTCCGAAGAATCCTCTGCAACAACAACAACAAAAAGGGAATCAGTTCTTGCCTCTACATATCTGAATCTGTTCTAGAAATGATGATACAACAAATGTACTTAAAAATATGTCCCATTCTTCAGCCATGCAGTCCTCAAGGCCTCAATTGGAAGCACCATAAAACAAAATGGTCTTCATTCATTTCAGAAAAAGTTTTCAAAGCAATTAGGAGTAAGTCAATTGCCCCTACCTCAAAAAATTGCAACTTTCACAGAGCAGCCAACATTGAAAATATCTGTAAGTCATGGAAAAGATGAAACCCTGTCTTCACAACAACAGCCCATCCAAACTTCACAGAATCATAGACACCTTGAGTTCAATTTCCTCCTTAGTGCAGGAATTCAAATTAAATCTAAATCCACCTGAATATATTCAATATGTAATGAATGGGAGACCACTCTTGGTAATTGAATGGTTCTGGCATTCAATCAGAATGTTTAATTTAATTTATCGAATTTCTATGCCGCCCAACTCCCAAGGGACTCTGGGCGGCTTACAGCAAAAATAATACAACAAAGAACATAGGAAAATTATTAAAAAACATTATAAAAACATTTTTAAAAACATTAAAAGCCCATGCACGCCATTCATGGCCGGATCTCGCAAGATTGCAACAGCGAGATCAATGGCTCCAGGCCTGCCAGAAAAGCCAGGTTTTCACTGCTTTCCGGAAGGCCAATAGGGTGGGGGTAGTCCGGATCTCAGGAGGTAACTGGTTCCAGAGAGCTGGGGCAGCCACAGAGAAGGCCCTCCCCCGCAGGTCCGCCAGCCAGCATTTTTTAGCTGACGGGACCAGGAGGAGACCAACTCTGTGGGATCTTACCGGTCGCTGGGTTCCTTCTGCAACTTTAATCTATTATTTCATATCCTATGTTCTTAATTTTCTTTTGTGTAACATTTTTGCAGGTATTTGAAGAGTGTTGTCACTCTTAGTCAGTGGTGAAATCCAAATTTTTTTCTACCGGTTCTGTGAGCGTGGCTTGGTGGGTGTGGTGTGGCTTGGTGGCCATGGCAGGGGAAAGATACTGCAAAATCTCCATTCCCATCCCACACCAGGGGAAGGATACTGCAAAATCTCCATTCACTTGCCACTCCTGGGGGAAGGATATTGCAAAACCTCCATTCCCATCCCACTCTGGGGCCAGCCAGGAGTGACATTTGCTGGTTCTCCGAACTACTCAAAATTTCTGCTACCGGCTCTCCGAACTACTCAAAATTTCCACTACCGGTTCTCCAAAACCTGTCAGAACCTGCTGGATTTCACCCCTTCTCTTAGTGTTCTCTTCTGAAAGCTAAAAATATCCAAGTTTCTGCTTTTTTGTAACTTATCCCAGTTCATTTGAATCCTTCTTTAAGTTGTTAGCTAGAAGTCAACATAATACTCTAGGAAGGATCTGTGTGCAGAATAACTATTAGAACTATTACTTCCTATAATTTAGAGAACTACACTTCTGTTGATATAAATTCATATTTCCTTTCTTTGTAGCCATATCAAGTGTCATGTATAATGTGTAAATAATTACTTTTCTACAAATCTTATTCTCAAACTACCGTAGGTAGCCAGATACCTACCATTTGATTTCTGTTTCCTAAATGAAAGCCATTTCATTTGCTTCCATTTAATTTAATTTTGTTATTTTCAGCACATTTTTTTAACCTATTATGATTCAATGTTGTGTCATTGGCATATTTGACAAGCAGTCCCCCTATCTCTTCATCTAAATAATTAAAAACTACAAGGCTTAGCATCAAACACTATGGTTAAGTTTTATGAGAAATAGTTGATGAATATTCTTTGAGTAAAACATTTGAGCCAGCTATTTATCTGTGTAATTGTCATGTGATCTAGACTATACTTAACTAAATTGCTAAACAGAATAGCATGGGCTATTTTGACATATACTTTGTTGAAATTGAGATACATTACCTCAACAACATTTCCACAATCTACTAAATAATTCAAAGTTTTCTAACAATCTGCTGAATAGATTCAACATTTTCAGTGCATATTCTTTACATCTGTCATCTTAAATCCTATTACTGCTAATAGTCATAAACCATCTATTTATATATTCTTTATAAATAATTAAAAACTTCCTCGTGAATAATATGTACTATATTATTGAGCTGTGGGCTCACTCATAAAGTTAGGCTACAGTCCTATTCCCATTTAAATCAGTGGGGCTGATTTCTAAATAGGCACATTTAACACTGTGTTGTTTATCAATCACTAATAAACAATACTTTATTTTCTCAGTTTGGAATCCAACCAGCTTCATTTAGGCTCTCATATTATGAAAAATAATGACAAAATATTTCCTCAGACAAGATTAAAATGAAATTCAGCAAAAGTTCTAAACCTTTATTTGTTATTTCTTATAACAGGATATATAGATAGTCCTCAGTTAGTGACCATTTACAGTTACAATCGTGATCAAAAATAACTTGACCAATTCTCATATTTATGATCTTTGCTAGTGTTTAAGGCAAAGGAAAGCTGAAGTTTAAAAAAATGAATTTCAATTAGTGAAGCTTAATGACCAAGTTGCTGGTCTCAGTTCTGATTGTTAAACAAGGATTACCTGTATCTTTGATTTCTTTCATAGCAAGGAAACATCTAATATCAACAGATGTAATGATCTGGCAAAGAGCTGTTTCTGAGGTAATGAAAAAAGCCAAATCCAGAGGAAGAAAAGCCAGTATTGTTGGCTTTTTTGTCAAACCAACAAATTTATAGAGGCCTATTTTTTTCTCACCATTGATATGTATTTTCTCATGTGACAGGAAGGAGTAGCTTCTACTCTCTGAACCCTAACAGTTTACGTACTAATCTAAAGCTGGTAGTTGGTTTTGATTTACCATATTTGCCAAAATGATAATCAGTTTACTATGTTGATAATTTACATGTTATAAACATATAATAGAACATGTATAGCGAGAAGTAGATAATTTCTATTTATTGTATTTGCCAAAATGAACATCTGTTTAAGGTGATCACCCAACCCACTCTAAAAGAAAATATTAGCCAGAGAAATTTGCCAGGAACTCAAGTTATACCTGCATCAGAGCACAACCATTATATAGTGTCAGAAAGCATAGAGCCCACATGCATTCTTCCACCTACATTCATGCATAAGCTGTCACCACAGCTTTCAGTGGAAATTAACTATTTGCATGTGCAAATGACTTACAGTAAATACCAGCCCCAGCTTCTGTACCAACTTGTTTGAATTATTTTGTTGCGATGCTGATAAGCATACTAGGGAAATGGATATAAACTACCATTACAGAAGAAAATGGCAAGTCCTTTTGCTCAGAGCTTAAAAAAAAAAAACCACCAGAACAAAAACCTCAGCTAATTGCATTCATGTCTTTTCTGCACTGGCAACCTGAGAGCACCATCCTCTTATACAAACTGCTGACTTTGTGGGAAAGCAACAAAGCCCAATTAAGGATTGTTGTTTCCACCCTCTTTTATTAATGTGTATATATATATATCAAATTAAAGATTTCATTAAAAGATCATAAAAAATAACACAAACCGATATAAAGTAGGAAAGAGAAAGGAAAGAGAAAGAAATCAAAGAGAAGTGCAGAAAAGGCAGGGGAAGGAAAAAAGGAAAGGAAAGGGAAAAGATACAGAGAAGTATTTTTTGATTTTTTTTTTACATCAGTTATAAATTTGCCTCTTACTCTATGGTTATAATGTGTTTGTTTGTTTGTTTGTTTATTGAAATAAGGTGGCAAACCTATCCAGCACACCTTCCTCCTATTTTCTTCAACCCTGTGAGGTGAGCTGGACTGAGAGAGCATGAGTAGCCAAAAGTCAATCCGCGGGCTTTCCTGCTAGACTACAACTTAGTCTCCCGCTTTCTAGCCTGGTGCCTTAACCACTGGGCCACACTGTTTCTCTTCTTTCTATAATCTGTTTTGTTTAATTATCAAAACCATAAATCACTAGTTCTTTTTTTCCCCCCTAGTTCACACAAAATCTGTAAGATTCTAGTCAGCAATATTGTTTTTTCTCTGATCAAAAAAGTTAATTTGGCTATCTCAGCAACCATTCTGCATTGTGGGTAATGCTGAATCTTTCCATCGTAACCTCACTACAGCTTTATAGTTATTCCATGATTCTTTTCAGCTGTCTGTCCATCAGTCCCAAAAGAAAAAACACTGGTTTTAATTGCATATTAATATTAAATATCCTCTTAATTAATGCACGTACAGTACTTGGATCCAGAATTTTCTAGTTTTAAAATGTCCACTAAATATGATAAAATGTCCCTTCTTTTTGTTCACATTTCCAACATAAATTTAAAGTGTCTTTATATATTGTATAGATTTTTTTCTGGTGACATATGCCAATGGTACATCAATTTATTAAAAAATTCTTTAAGATTATAACATAATATACATTTCAACCTTTTCAATCCTATATTTTCCCTTGTTTTATCTGTAAATTACAACCAAAAGTTTTGACCCACTTTTCGTACAACCTTTCACTTATTCTTCTGTTTCAAATTTCCTGAAAAGTATATTCATTTTAGCAATTACATGTTCATGATTTGTATAGAATTCAAACTCAGTTTTAGAATATTTAAATCCATAATTTTAGTACTTTATTTTTTTCTAATAATTGTAAATAAGAGGAGCATTGACAGTTATATCCCTCTGCCACCAGTTTTTAAATTTTTTTATTTTATATGCCCCTTGAAAAATGTTCTAGTATCTCACAAGAAGTTAGACATTTGTGTTTCCTTATTATTTATCGTATATAATATGCTACTTGGGCTGAGAGTTACAGAGATATCTTTGGGCATAACCTAGGTTTGCATCAGGGGTGAAATCCAGCAGGTTCTAACAGGTTCTGGAGAACCGGTAGCGGAAATTTTGAGTAGTTTGGAGAACCGGCAAATATCACCTCTGGCTGACCCAGAGTGGGGTGGGAATGGAGATTTTGCAATATCCTTTCCCCAGGAGTGAGGAGGAAATGGGGATTTTGCAGTATCCTTCCCCTGCCACGCCCACCAAGCGGTAGGGAAAATTTTTGAATTTTACCCATGGTTTGTATCTATTCCATAGTCTCAATATGTCTAACATAATGGCTTTTAAAATCCACATTGATCTTGAATTTGTTGTACCATTGCTATTTCCACTACAGCAGAAACCTTTGTGAAATTTGCTCTGAGTGTGAGAATCCTAAAAAAACTTATATTAGTTTTTAACTGAAGCAACATACAAGCAAGCAAGCACATAAATAAATTAATATAATGCAATAGCCTGCTGTAACATCTTATTTTAAAGAATAAGGGGATGGAATCCTTGCTGGTCTGATGCTTTCTTGTTGTGACTGATGTCACAGCAGAATGTTTTATCAGCAAAGAAATATCATCAAAATGATTGAAAGAAAGCAAAGTTGAAGGTAAGAAATGTCAGCAACCAGAAAAAGCTGATTCAGACTACAATTTGTCCCTCTCCTTCAATCTATGGCCAAGCCTCTTTTGCTGCTCCAGTGAAACTGGCATGGGAAATTTCTGTTTGGCTGTTTTCAGAGGGAGGGTAAAACAAAAGCAAAGTAGTTTTTTGTAAGAAGAGCAGCATAAGATAGCATGCAGCATGGTGTGGTACGATCAAGTACAGTTCAACAGCTCTAAAAAAAAAAAAAGCCATTGCCTGTCATTTCCCTGTCTGTCGTGTAATGCTTGTTTTCCTCTCCTCATCGCACCATAGTGTCAATAGAGGCGTGCATGGCTTTTCACATACCGCAGAGTTAATAACTAATTCTTTCACAGCTGCAAAAACAAAAGCTGATCATTTTACAGGGAGAAAAGTTTCAAGCATGAGGAGTTTTTGAAGACTGTGCCTTGATAAATGGAAAAAAGAAAAGATGTTTCAACAAAGGTATCTTGCAAAAGTTATCAAGCGAGAAAGAAAAATGCACAGAATTTGCATATGATTCAGAAGCACCCGGCTTCTTTTTGCAAAATACACAAATTAGGACATGCTATGACCCCGGCATGCTCCCCATCCAGTAGGATCACCAGTTGGAGGATAAATAGATCACAACAGGGGACAATGATCAAATTTCGCTACAGTTCTACAGGTTTGAAAAGGTAGCAGCTGCTTTACAAGAATGGGAAGTAAGACAGCAGGAAGAAAGCTGCTTGAACTGACATTTTCTATCTTCTGCACACATAGTATTTGCATGTCCTGATTATTTTAAGAAACACAATTTTCAGAGTTTACCCAATATATTGAGTTTACACAGCAGTAATGGGCAGGTTTGTGGTTCATTGTGTTATGCAAAGATGAGTGTTATTCATGGAGCTCAATTTACCACCTGTCTCAGCTCTATTGTGTCTCAACTTGGCACCACAGGTCTCAGCCAAAGCATGTGGTGGTTGATTCATATCTTTACAGACTGAAAACAAGTCGTCAAGGCTGCAGAGTAGCCAGAAGGAGAACAGCTTGATTGTCTTATGTGCCAACAGCATGAGTTTCTTGCAAATTTCTTTGTATCAGAGGGAAAGAAAGAAAAGCTTTAGTCCAATAGTCTAACAAATTCTTCAGTACTTGCTGACTTACAGCTAAGTGTTTAGAGACTTACTGTTAGGTAAGATGAATTGATCTAGAACAGGAGTGTCAAACTCGATTTCATTGAGGGGCACATCAGGGTTGTGTTTGACCTTGGGGGGCCAGAGCAGGCATGGCCAGGATGGGTGTGGCCAGCTTAATGTCACTCATGTCGGAGGCGCCTGTGGCAGCCTGAGCACTATGCCAGAGAAAATGGCCTCCTGAGCTCTCTTTTCAGCTGTGATGGCCTCCTGCAACCCTCTGTCAGCAAAATCGGAGCTTGGGAGGGCTGCATGCAGCCCTTCCGAGTTCCATTTTCACTGGTAGAGGCACTGTGGGCCAATCCTTCATTGTTTCCAGGGCATCCCCATGGGCCAGATCTAAGCAGCCCGTGGGTCAGATCTGGGCCCCGGGCCTTGAGTTTGACACCCCTGATCTAGAAGTTCTAATTTTGTTATTTAGCTGATTCTATTCCTTGGATCAAAGCAAAATATATATGTACACAGAGTACACTTCAATAACGTACTTCAGGATTTGCACAAGAGCAGCATTTCTGAGCTGCTAATTAGTAAATTAAAGGAACTGCATCATTTTTCAACCTTGAGTTTATGTGGTAACAGCTAGCACAGACATGATGTGGTTCAATAAGTACGAAAGCACTTGCTAAGCATGTCCAATCATGTGTATCTACACAAACAAAATCTATAAGTGTCTGCACGTCTATAGTAAAGAGACCACCCAAAGTGTATAGTAACATAGAATATGGTTTAGATATTTGACCTAACCTTGACATCAGGCCTAGATTATGAAATGTTAAACCTATTTACCTATAGGTTGGTGACCACTAGCGTTGACAGAAATCTGTGCTCGACAGTAGGCTTTGCTGTCCACTAGTTCTGAGGATTTAGGAAGAAAAACATTAATGTAAGAAAATATTTTTTTTCAAAGTAATTTCCAGAGTTGCTTAAAAATATATGAAGTTCTTAAGGTAGTTACCTACTGTGCCACCATATCCACTCTCGTAGAAATAATTGTCTTCTTTCCAAGATGTCATTAGAGATGGATCTTATGCACAAAAAAAGAACAGAGCAAAAATCAATACTGATAATACTCCTAGTTAGCTACAAAAAATATTCCATATTGAGAACAGAAAAATTAAATTTTCAAGAGAGATAATGCATACAAAAGTACCAAATTATTTTACTAAGTACAAGAAGGCATACTGAATAGTCTTCATGGTCCAAAAATTGGACATTTTCATCTCCAAGGATGTGCAATGGGACATTGGAAACTGTTTTGCTTTTTTCAGGAGCAGAGGTGCTAACACCTTTAAAGCATGGCACCATTCCTGAGCAGGTTGAAAGTAAGCCCATTGCGGTCTTCACTGTTAGCATAGCTTCCAACCTGCTCAGAATGGTATCAAGCTTTAAAGCTGCCAGTATCTTGGGAATTTTGAATTTGCTGTAAGGGCTGCACCAAGATAAGGGCTGCATTTACAGCTGGTGTATGCTGAGGTTGCCTCTGTTGTGGGTGAGTAAGACGGCAAAAGGCTGATGAGTCATTGTTTGGCTCACTCTTCGTTGGTCCTGCTCCAAACATGGCACTCACCTGACCCCATTTTTAAGCCTGCACTCCATCCTTTAAGCTCCTGCAGCTTCTCAAGTTTCAACAATTGTTATTTCAACAATATTTTCATAAAGCCTTTCCTTCTTTCTTTGGATGCCTCATACTTCTGTTCATGTGTTATTGTTTTTTTATTATTATTATTTTTACTGTGGCTACAAGCCTCAAAAGTTGGAAACTGCTCTTGGATCTCTAAAAAGTTCTGATTTGTAATTGCTACCTTGGTAAGGCAGCAAGGAATCCTGTATGCGGCGAACTACCCTGTTTTTGTTATTTCTGTTTAAACACATTTCTTCAATTCTGCATCTAACTTTTGTAGTCATTGGGAAGACAGAGAGGGACATAGATAACTATGGCTATATTAAACTGCAATCACATGGTATAAATTTGCTCTTTTTTTTTTTCTAAAATCATAACCTGATAATCTTCGAGTCTAGCAAGGAATAAACATATTATTGTAGGAAACGGGAAACAAAAATAAAGGTTTCACAATTGTTCTAAATTTATCTTTTGACCCATAGAACACACAGATGAGCAACAATACTCATCTGGGTATTGTTGCCAGAGATTAGTCCTTCTGTACAAACACTTGTCCCTTTTTTAGAAGATGTTAACCTTGTTTTTGTTTCCATTTCCAAGTGCAAGTTTGGGGATCTATTTATCTTTTAAAGTATTGAATATGTGATTACACCTGGAAATGAATCATGAATGCTAAACCTTTGTGCTTTGCCAGCTTAAAACTTATGAAATAGGAATTTAGTCAATCTTCTGCTTACTAGTTACGTGTTTGGGCATCCCAAACCTATGTCCTTGCAACATACCCTCTTGTAGTTTAGATGCCAGGCCCACTCTTTGTTTGTTTTCTTTTCTTTCTAAAAATAAAAAAGACTCACCCAGGTTGGATTGGGGAGAAATGTTGTTGCTATTCTGCATGGTACAAAAATATTGCAGTAGCATTCAGCTTAGTGTAAGACACCTCCAAAGGATTCACACTGTTACATGGTGTGTTTTTTTTTTAATTTGATTTATATACCGCCCTTCTACGGAAACTCAGGGCGGCTTACAATGCGCTAAGCAATAGCCTTCATCCTTTTGTATATTTTATACAAAGTCAGCTTATTGCCCCCACAACTGGGTCCTCAATTTACCCACCTTAGAAAGGATGGAAGGCTGAGTCAACCTTGAGCCTGGCGAGATTCGAACCTGCAGTAATTGCAGGCAGCTGGTCTTAATAACAGGGTGCTTTAGACCATTTTAGACCATTTTATTTGATAATGCAAAAAAATAATTTGAGGGGCAAGACCAGTAGTGGGTTTCAATTTAGTTTGCTACCAGTTCGCGCATGCACAGAAGCGTCCAGGTGGGTGGGTGGAGCCTCCCGCAGCTGCCGCTACTGGTTCGTCTGAATCCAGGGTGAACTGGTAGCAACCCACCACTGGGCAAGACACTGAGGAAATTCAAAGTCAGGTGTGTCATTCAAATTAGGCTTCAGCCATGGAAGCTAAGTGGGTGATTTTGGATCAGTCATTAATTTCTCCCCAATAGATCCTTAATCTATCTCACAGAATTATTGTTGTGGGGATAATTCTGTGAGATAAAAGTGGGGATCATTTGACCTCTTGGAAAAAAAGTGGGATATAAATCTAATGGATGAATGAATAAAATAATCTCAGATTCGTGGAACTGAAATCAACAAATGCTAAAAAAAAAATTCCCCTATACTGGGAAAAAATATTTTTTAAGGGATATGGGAAATAATCTGCAATTACTTAGAAATTATTGTAGGTTCTTTATATAATATGTGGGGATCTGGATGGTGTGACCTTTTACTTAGAATCTTTCTATATTTCTCCATTAATTTACCTCTTATTACCAGAGCAATCGCATTAAAAATAGAAGAGTCGGATAATTAAGAAATATTTCTTGATGGTTAGGTTTGGATCTGTCTACTTGAACATATTTTAAAAGTATATATCTTCTATTGTTGGTTCTATTATATTACATTGGCAATTGAGAAACCTTATTTTCTAGGTTGCCAATACCATATTATCTTTATTTATCAACATGAATCCCCGGAAATTTCTTATAGCTTTCTGCATATAATATTATTAATATTATAGTTATTATAATATTATAACAATATTATTAATATTATTTATTAATATTATAGTGTAATAGAACAGACTGCCTATTTTGATGTAGTAGCTCTCAGGGGTCACAAGTGGAGAAAAATCTCTTTCATCAGGTATTATTGAATTCTTTGAAGGTTGACATCTGAAATGAAACTCAAGACCTCTAGCTTGAGAAGGAAGGGAAGAAGGAGACTCCCTTGTGGTCACTTGTGAAAAATTTGAATTACTATGAAATGGGGAAAAAGACTTGTAAAATAAACTGATGTTACACACTGTATTGTTAGGAATTTCCAAATAGCTCAATAGCTATGGATCATATTTTTTTTAAAAAAATACTTTTCAGTTTAATATTGAAAATAATATTTCACCCAATATTAGATTATATAGGTTATATTGACCTAAAACATTACCTATGAAATCAATGAATTTAAATGACTAATGTAATGTTAGTAATGTTATAATTATTAAAAAATAATTCTTTTAACATGTACATGGGTTTATCTACCATCCCTCTTCCTAGAATTGCCTGTTAGTTTATGGTTAGAATATGAGTTATTTGGTTCTAAATAATCATTCTTCTTGTTCTTGCCTGGTTTGCAATTGTTCAGAACAGAAATAATGTAGATATCACCCACCTGTTTGTTCTGTTTTAACAATGACATTGTGTGATGGATACACTTCACTTCCACACTGACCTGACAGAAATGAATGTAATATGCAATACAATTATTTAAAAAAGATGGAATTTCAATCATACATCCCCAGAACAGCTGGATCATATTAACAATAGGACACAATGCCATTTAGAGCTACATAAATAATATATCAGAATAACAAAAAAAATAGGTATTCTCATGCTAGCCTTGCTTCTGATTATATGAAGTAGCAATTCACAAGCAACACTAGCAGATTTTCTTCTTATTAAATATTATTTAAAGAATCAGGTTGACTGAAGCAAAGAAGCCACATAGTTTTAATATAGGGAAGGCATACTTTGGTATTAATCAACAATAATGGTGACGATAACATAGTGTTCACTAACAATAATGCATTACAGACAGTCTTTAGTGTGTGCCAAGTATCTTGTCCTGACTGAAAAAAAATTAAAGTATTTTTAAGTTTTTAAAAAGTTCATATTTATAATATGCTTCTAAGATTGCTTGAGACACCGCTAAAACCAGGGGAAAAGTTGACTTGAGATAATACAGATTAAAGACCCCAGAATGCCCTACTCATCTATTATTTAGTGCTTGTGGATTTAATAAGCATTGCAGCCATTTTGTGAGAGTACCTATGTTCTCGGGATTCCAAATTTTTGCACTGAACTAAATCTAATTTTTTTAAAAAAAACTTGCAGTCCCATTCTCTCTGGAGTTTAATTAAGAAAAATATACTGATATAGGTTTGCACTTCAATCCCAAAGTGTTTGTATACTATATGATTTGAATATTATATATCTGGCATAAAGATCTGATCCTGAAAGCCTGATTGAAATGTTCTGTATGATATTTTTCAAAACTTCCTATTGGACTATGGGAACATTTTGTAAATTACTGGAAGTAAATTATTTTTCAGAGACATTGTCTGTATGGTATCTGAGACCTGGATATGCTGCATAGCAATGCTTAATTAGTTGCATTAAGCCTTGGAACAAACTGTTTTGATCCTCAGCCATATTAAGAAATAGATATCTTTAATCACAAAAAGAAAGAGATACCACCAGAAATATTATTTCTATTTCACCATACGTAGAAGATAATGTTCAAATTTTTAGATCAAGGTTTTATATAGTAGATTCAGAATTGTTCAGTGACAAATGAGTTGAGCAGGATATTTATTATGAAGTTTCTCTTTCCTTTTACCTCTTAATGATTTCTGAATGCAAGGAATACATTTTGAACAAATTTTATATATTGTGTCTAAATCTTGTTTTCCCAGCCTTAAGCTTCTATTCATAACTAAATCAATTTGCATCATCTTTTATTATTGATCCCGTTGGCCAAATTTGATCAGAATTGTAATCTATTAGTACTATAATATTATAATACTATAATACTATAATATTTTAGTGAAAGGATTTACCATTCCACTTTAGATGATGGAGGTTGTTGTAAAGAAGTTGTCCAGCAGAGCCAGCTGCCCGGGTGAAATCTTGCAAAGTCATGCTACACAGATGATCTCCACTGATGTCAAATTCCTGGAATGGGATACAGTTGGCATCAAGCTGGTTGGTGTCCAAAAGATGTTGGAGCCATTCCCAGACCTGATACTTTGTCCAATACTGAGGATGTATTTCATGCCACTGTGTTCCAAAAAAACTGCTTGATGCTGCTGCAGGAAAAGATGCATTAATCACTAAAGAAAACATTTCACTATCCATGAATAGTATTGGTAAAAGTGAATAATGCTTCATTTTTATTGATGGATTAAATTATTGAAAAAAATCCTCAACACTTAAAAAGTCATAATACAGACAATGATAAATAATGAAAATAATCAAAGTGATATCAATGTAATCAATGTAAAGGTGTTACAATAAATTAAGCAGCAGAAAGCAGAGTCAATAAAAAGCAAACATCTTTAGGAATTAAAATGTAAATCTAGAACTTTGGCTCCTACCCTTCCAAACAGCAGCTAAATTCTATAACAGAATAGAAAACTAATTTTTGGGGGAAAAACCCTCATTGACACTGATGAAGAGGATTAGACTACTTTTATATACTCAATGGAAAACCCATAGCAGGATTTTCAAGGAAAAAATATCAGGTATGAATAGTTAAATAGTCTTTATGCAGTCTATGTTCAGATTAGTAATCTTAGTTTCCAGAAAATAAATGGAAACCAATGACATGATATCAAAATCAGAAATTCATGCAGTCTAACACCAACCTAGGTAATATTTAATGATATTGACTATGATTATGAATTCAGAAGTAATTACAATTTGGAGGCACCCTCAAAAAGCAGCCTCATGTAGATCACATTACAATAATCTCATTAAGAGTTCATTAAGAAAATTAGCTATGACTATGATATGTTTATTCCTATATTTAAAAGAATGCAGTTGGTGGGCAAAATGAAGTCAGCATGTGCATCAGCATACAGAATTCTAATCTTGGGATTTACAATTATCTATATTTTAGTGCTTTAAATTATATCACCTTTATGGACTCAGAACACCTCCATTACTCTATTTCCATATTCAGAAATAAGTGCTTATTTTAAATTCAGTAATGAGAAAAACATTTTTGATGAGCTAGTTATATGACTATGATTTATTTAAAAGCAAGTTTAATGGGTACTTCAGTCAAGTGCCAAATGAAAAGGTTTCTACCTCACCCAAAATTACTTCTGGCCATCGGTGGCAATGTTAGTTTCATTGCCAATGAGAAGCAGTTAACATTAGCTCAGCACAGCAAGAATTGGGATCGAGAATTTCAAGTTGAAATGATGCGCTTTCCAGATTTCAAACTTAGATTAGAATGTGTTGTCTATTTGGGTGGAGTTGCCTCATAGATGCTACTGATAATATTACACTTTGCAGAAAGCAATTGCTCTTTTGCTTTAATACTTTAAATGGGAAAAAAATATGGAAGAATGGGAAAATAATTGCATTCAATTATTCATTGCATTCACTCAAATTTTAGTTTACAGTAATTGGACTGTATTCCATGTTGATAACATAAGATTGCAATCATATAATGAGTTTCACTTTATCAAAATAAAATGCATGCTTTGCAAATAGCACAAGGACAAGAGAAAGTTGTATAGTTCTCAAACCTATTCATAGATCACCACTGGTGAATACTTCCTACCATTACATGTGGGATATCCTTCTGTCCAGGTTGACTGTTCATGAAGAAGACTTGTGACGGTATTAAGACTCATTCTGCCAGTTCCTTCTAAAATCATGATCTGTAAATGCACCAAACAGCTCACTTAACTTGAACTTTTTTCACCCCACAATTGCCAAGAATATCCTATCAAAACAAGCAAAGCCAAATATCTATCAAAAGTTACCCTTTATTAAAGTTACACATTATTAAAATTCCTTTTTGGATGAACACCCCCACCCCCAGTGGATAGCAAAACATGGTTACATTTCATTTTCACAGACACAAGACAAGTTATTACAACACACACACACCCATAAAGAATGAAGGAATGAATCAAAAACAAATAGCAGAGGAAATGTGCTTCTTTTTTTGTTTGCTTCCCGAAAGTAAAAAAACAACATATAAAAGTATAAAACATAATGGTGAATGGTAAAACACAAGTAATGTTATTGGACATTCCCATTAAGGCAAATGATACAAAAATAATTTTAAGAAATATATAATTTACATAAAATACTTCCATGGATTTATATGCCGCTTGAGAAATATTGGGACTATGTTGCATTTGGCCAGCAGACGGTATTCATTAGTTGAAGCTCTTGAATATAAGTTCTTAATATTATCATATTATCAAAACAAGAAATAAAAAGTAAGCTCAGACAAAATTTGAATCACCCTCTGGAGAAGGAGAGAAAGCTAACATTTGCCATTTTCTCCCATCCCTTTGTAGTTTCATCCTTTGCATTGTTCTAGATAGGCCCATCATCCCACAAGTTATGTTCCACTTTCAAGAAGTCTATATCCAGGATAATGTCTATTTCTGATCACTGTCAGTTTTGTGAAGGTTTAATCCAAAACTCCGTTCTGCTTCCTAATTTGCTCATCCAGGATTAATTTTATTGGAGTCCATGGGAAGTTACAGGGCTAGAAAAATGCTGGATGTTCCCAGGCTTCTGCCATTTAATTTTCCAGAACATTCTACCTAAAGTGATTTTCCCTTGACAACACGAGACATTTTGAAGGTTTGAGTTGTAATTTATCACAACTAACTCACTTCATCAAAACTCCTGAATATTTTCAAATTACTCAGAACCTGCAACTTACACATGCAACATTGGACAGGGAACTAAATCACTTTTTTCCTTCCCCAAAAAATTGATTTCTTTTACTGCTGCTATTTTTCTCAAAAGATGCAGTTTCCTTATTTAACAACTATAATATGTTCTACAACAATTTCCTACCAAAATAAAGAATAAAAAATAAATTACATATTTGGTTGGCCCTGAACAAAAAGCAAGGTTTGTTTTAAATCTAATAACTTTCATTGTCATAAAAGGGAAAAAGTTAAACATTTCATCTCATTCCAACAAGAAATAAAGACACCATTGTCAGCAATCATGGTTTAAAAATGTATGTAACCATGTTTTGAATTTAAGGGTGTAAGCGTTATCATACTTCATCCTCTAAAAAAGAACTATCATTCATCCAATTGTATGAAAAAAAATGAAGATACTGCTATTTCTTCCCAATTACAATCAAAAAAAGATTATGATTTCTGAGTTAAGACTTGAATTTGCTCTCAAGTTGAAGATAAACTTCCTGGTTCAAACCCAAGGTTGATTGGAAGGTTAGACTATTTTCCAAGTCAATGAATGGGCTGAAATGGGATTTTGTAATCACTAGACACTACCTATGTAATGTGTGCGTGCACATGCATGTATATTCATATGCATGCACGTGCATTCAAGATGCTATGGCTCCATATTTTTCCATGCCATTTCAATCAGCATCCTAAAATATGACTATTTCCTTTAGTCACTACTAATTCTCCCATTAAGTAATGTAAAATTGCTGCCTTAGACAGCCAGTAAAATGAAAGGCCAACAAATTATTGCCAACAGAGATTGAGAAAGATGCTTTGCGATTTTTTCTGTTCCATATGTCACATTCCTTTAGCACATTCTGCACAATGATTTAAGTTGGTATTTCAAGCAGCAAAATTTCTTGGGCAAGCCCTGGCTTTAATACTTTGTATGAAATTGTACTGCTATTAAAAATAACATTTGACGTTAAGAAATATCAAATTATCACTGAAGCTTGAAAATAATTTTCCCAGCAGATAACTATTACCCCTCTCCCACTACAAAAGTTACAGAAAGTTAGAACTCCGGAACATATTGGCATACTTATCAAAAAGTCTGTTTATCTGAAACCAGAGCTCTTATTTTGATAAAAGATATTCAGCTTAGCTTGCCACGCCAGGATTCCTAGCTTTATTATACTGAAACTTTTTCTTAAAGCAGAAATCATTCCAAGAAACTTTAAAAGAAGGATTGTCTCAGTTTATCTTTTTGCACCACCAAATGAAATGTCTTTTAACTAAGATCTTGTCATTAGCTAAGCCCTAAGTTCCTGGACTGCAATGTTTAAACCAGCTGGAAATGTAGCCATCTTAAAAGAAAACAGCATGAGAAAGAACCTAAAAATAACCTCACCTTGATTTTATTTAATATCAGATGGGATAGAGAGAAATTTGCACCAGCTTTCACAATTTTGATATTCTCTTTTACTACGATAAAAAGTAGTAGTAGACCGCGATTTTGACAGCTCTGGGGTAGAGTGTGTGCTAAACTAGCAAATGCTATAATTTTTTCATAAGAGCCACAATGGATCTTTCTTGACCTGGCCTTTAATGATCAAGAAAATGCCCTGGTTTTATCCTTTTTCTTGTTATTTGGTCTAGAAGGGAAAAGTGGCAGAACCACTTCCCATGATTAAAATGAAGAAAAGACAGCTCATCATTTCATGGTCCCATTATTCTATCAATAGAATAGAATAGAATTTTTTATTGGCAAGTGTGATTGGACACACAAGGAATTTGTCTTGCTGCATATGCTCTCAGTGTACATAAAAGAAAAGATACGTTCATCAAGAATCATAAGGTACAACACTTAATGATAGTCATAGGGTACAAATAAGCAATCAGGAAACAATATCAATATAAATTGTATGGATACAAGCAACAAAGTTACAGTCTTATGTGGAAAGAGATAGCTGATGGGAACATGAGAAGATGAGAAGATTAATAGTAGTGCAGACTTAGTACATAGTTTGACAGTGTTGAAGGAATTATTTGTTTAGCATAGTGATGGCGTTCGGAAAAAATGTTCTTGTGTCTAGTTGTTCTGGTGTGCAGTGCTCTATAGCGTCGTTTTGAGGGTAGGAGTTGAAACAGTTTATGCCCAGGATGTGAGGGGTCTGTAAATATTTTCACAGCCCTCTTTATACAGGTCTTCAATGGAAGGTAGTTGGTAGCAATCAATGAAAATATTAAAAAGTCAAGGCAAGAGCGGTTCACCCTTTCCTTTTATCTCAGTGAAAAAAATATGACATGTCCATTGTTTTCTTGTTCTATCAGTAAACTTGTTAAAAAACAACAAAAGCAAACAACCCAAAACAGGTTTTCCCCCTCCAAGGATGAACTTTAAAAAAAAAAAAGCTGTGAAGAATGGGAGGATGAGGCAAATTTGTCTATAATGAAACCAGAGGGAAAGCAGGGAAACTAGATAGCACTCCTTGAATCGACACAGGTGAGAAAACATGACTTCTGAGACATGGAAGGGGAAAAAAACACATCAAGGTTGACTTCCTAATAGGCTGATTGTAGGTAAGAGCCAGGATTTTATATTTATATCTTTGACAAATAGTCAGTGGCCTGGATTCACACTGAGTTTTGCTGAACACAAGGAACAGCACTAAATGTCTTTGACTTTATGGATCCTGTTATAAAGGTGTGGGGCAACTATCAAACCTTATAGCAATAGCACTTTTTTAAAAAAATTTGATTTATATGCCGCCCTTCTCCGGAGACTCAGGGCGGCTTACAATGTGCTAAGCAATAGCCTTCATTCTTTTTGTATATTTATACAAAGTCAGCTTATTGCCCCCACAACTGGGTCCTCAATTTACCTACCTTAGAAAGGTTGGAAGGCTGAGTCAACCTTGAGCCTGGTGAGATTCGAACCCTGCAGTAATTGCAGGCAGCTGGTCTTAATAACAGGGTGCTTTAGACCACTGTACTACCAAGGCACTTAGACTTATATACTGCTTCACACAGGGGTGGGTTCTACTTACCTTTACTACCGGTTCACAATGGGAGCGCGCATGTGCAGATCGTCAATTATGACGTCCGGGCAGGACGAGCCTCCCGCTGCTTTTGCTACCGGTTCTAAAGAACCAGACAGAACCAGGAGCAACCCACCACTGGCTTCACAGTGCTTTACAGCCCTCTCTAAGCGGTTTACAGAGTTGGCATATTGCCCTCAACGATATGGCTCCTCATTTTACCCACCTCTGAAGGATGGAAGACTGAGTAAACCTAGAGCCTGGTGAGATTCAAACTGCTAAATTGCAGGCAACTGGCAGTCAGCAGAAGTAGCCTGAAATACTACATTCTAACCACTGCACCATCGTGGCTCTTATGAAAAAATTATAGCATTTACTAGTTTAGCACACACTCTACCCCAGAGCTGTCAAAGTCACGGCCTGCAAGCTGGATGTGTCATGTGCTGGCCATGCCCACGCCGGGTTTAGTAAAGGGGGAAAAAGTCCCGATACGTCACATGATGCCACCATGACGACACATGTTTGACACCCCTGCTCTACCCTAAAGATGAGGGTAGGTTTTTTTTTTTCAAAACTTCGGCATGCAAAATAAACATTTATATTTCTTTTCCCTTTGAACAAAAGATCACCAAATTAGGAAAACATGCAATACAAGACTCATTGGAAGTGAGACAAAAATGTTTGAAATGACTTATTCAGCTCAGGTTTTATTTTGTTTAGGAGAGGGAGGATGTCTTTAGCTTACAAAGCAGAAGAACACATCTTAGAGGTATAAATGCAGACTATAAGTCAAATAAATCAACACGGGAATATTTATAGTGTTCAGTGCTGTTGACAATATAGGGCCCTTGTCCCAGTGCCAGATTTAATGTTTTATTAATAAGTGCCTGTCTCTGCGGAAAACGTAAACAAATCCTTTCTGGCAAAGGAAAATTTGTATAGCTAGGCAATGGATAAATCCATTTCTAAAATTCTTCTCTGAATCTATATACACTGAGTTATGGGGAAAAAATCAGGGT